TTACGCGCGAATGTCCGCACAGTCGAACCCGCTTTTCTCCGTCGCTCAGCTGTGACTCAAAAACGTACGATCAAAAAAAAAATAGTATCCGCCACCACCGTGCCCCCTGGCACGTTGAGGCGTGGTAGAATGCCAAGTGCTGTCTGGAAGGATGTTTGTAATATTCTGAGGGGCACCCCCTCCAGGCCGCACCTCGCTGCGCGCACCGGCCAAACTGCAGGGGGTCCCTGGACGGCCATGGTGCCTCCCAAGGGCTCTCCAAGGCTTCCATGACGCCCCTGGAAGCCCCCCAACACGGTCCAAGAGGGCCCCGAGTCGCCGAACGATCGCTCGAAGACGCCCACGACGGCCTCAAAATGGCGCACGAGGCTTCCAAGGCGCCCCAAGGGGCACCCAAGAGGCCTCCCAAGAGGGCCCCCAAAGGCATAGATCATTGATTCCCCTTGTATGTTTGAAAGATGTAGGCGTTCTCGCCTTTTCTGCCTTCCGACGCTCCAAGACCGCCCAAGAGGCCCCCAAGACCACCCCAGAGCGGCCCAAGAGGCCTCCAAGAGAGCCCCAAATCGGCCTAAGTGCGCCCCAAAACGGCCCAAGAGGCGCCCAAGATGGCCCAAGAGGGCCCCAAGACGGTCCCACGAGGGGCCCCAGAGAGGGAACACGAGCCGAAAATCCGGCCCAGAGAAGCCCCAAAGAGGTCCCAAGAGGCCCCAAAACAGCCCCCAAGAGGCCTCAAGCTGCCTCCAAGAGGCCCCCGCGAGGCCTCCCACGAGATTCCAATGACCATCCACTAGGCTGATAACCAACAACCCTGGCACGATGGCGAGACTTGGCGTAGGCAGCTCGATAAACATCAACGGTTGGAGGTCCGCGGAGCTGATTTTTTGGATCGGTGCCGGAGGCGCCGCCATGGGGGCCCAGCGCCGATCCGAGAAATCCGCGGGGACCTCCAAAAGTTCATGTGTATGCCATTCTCTGTCCCCCGATCGACGACATGCACTGTTTATTCACTGCGTGGGGATCCCCATATGTGCATCTCCTTGCTGGCGCTCCCTTGGTGGTGGGACTCGGTGAGGACGAATCTGGATTTAAGTGTGACTGAGCTGCCTCTCTCTCTCTCTCTCTCTCTGCTCTCTCTGTCTCTCTCTCTCTCTCTGCCCTCTCTCTGTCTCTGCCTCTCTTTCCCTGCCTCTCTCTCTCTCTGCCTCTCTCTCTCTGCCTCTCTCTCTCTCTGCCTCTCTCTCTGTGCCTCTCTCTCTCTGCCTCTATCTCTGCCTCTCTCTCTCTCTCTCTTTCTCTCCTCTCTCTCTTCTCTCTATTCTCTCTCTGCTCTCTCCTCTCTCTCTCACTCTCCCTCTCTCTCTCTCTCGCTCTCTCTCTTCTCTTCTCTTCTCTTCTCTTCTCTTCTCTCTCTCTCTCTCTCTTTCTCTCTCTATCTCTCTCTCTCTCTCTTCCCTCGCTCTCTCCCTCTCTCTCTCTCTCTTCTCTCTCTCTCTCTTTCGCTCTCTCGCTCTCTCTTGCTCTCTCTCGCTCTCTGTCGCTCTCTCTCGCTCTCTCTCTCTCTCTCTCTCTCTCGCTCTCACTCGCTCTCTCTCGCTCTCTCTCGCTCTCCCACGCTCTCTCCCGCTCTCTCTCTCTCTCGCTCTCTCTCTCTCCTCCTCAAATCGTCTCTCGCACTCTCTCTCTCTCTCCTCTCTTCTCTTCTCTCCGCTTTCTCTTCCTCGCTCTCACTCTCTTCTCTCTCTCCTCTCACTCTCCCCCCCCTCTCTCCCACTTCTCTCTCTCTCTCTCTCTTTCTCTCACTCTCTCCTTTCTTTTCTATCTCTATCCTCTCTCTCTCTCCTCTTCTCTCTTGTCTCTTCTCTCTCTCTCTCTCTCTCTCTTCTCTCATTCTCTCTTTCTCTCGCCCTGTCTCTCCTCAACATCCCCCCTCTCTCCTCTCTTTCCTCCGCTCTCTCTGCTCACTCTCTCTCTCAACTCCCCCTCTCTCTCTCTCTCCGCTCTCTCTCTCTCTCTCTCTCTTTCTCTCCTCTCCCTCTCTCTCGCTTCCTCTCTCTCTCTCTCTCTTCCCTCTCTCTCTCTCTCTCTCTCTCTCTCTCTCTCTCTGGCGACTAGGAGGCCCGGGTCGACTCCTCTTTGGGAAGCCAAAATGCTGCCCCTGGCAGCGTTTGGTGACTATGAAGCCCCTGGTGGACCCCCCCTGGGGCTCCCCAATGATGCCCCTGGCAGCGTTTTGTGACCATGAGGCTCTCAAGAGATACATGTTGGGGACGCCAAACGGCAATTCTAGCTGAGGCGTCCCACCAAAATCGGCGCGAACGGGCTCGTGAGATCAGCCAGGGTGGCACCCCCGTGGGGCTCCCAAATGATGCCCCTGGCAGCGTTTTGTGACCATGAGGCTCTCAAGAGATACATGTTGGGGAGGCCAAAACGGCAATTCTAGCTGAGGCGTCCCACCAAAATCGACGCGAACGGGCTCGTGAGATCAGCCAGGGTGGCTCCCCCTTGGGGCTCCCAAATGATGCCCCTGGCAGCGTTTTGCGACCATGAGGCTCTCAAGAGATACATGTTGGGGGCGCCAAACGGCAATTCTAGCTGAGACGTCCCACCAAAATCGGCGCGAACGGGCTCGTGAGATCAGCCAGGGTGGCCCCCCTTGGGGCTCCCAAATGATGCCCCTGGCAGCGTTTTGCGACCATGAGGCTCTCAAGAGATACATGTTGGGGAGGCCAAACGGCAATTCTAGCTGAGGCGTCCCACCAAAATCGGCGCGAACGGGCTCGTGAGATCAGCCAGGGTGGCTCCCCCCTTGGGGCTCCCAAATGATGCCCCTGGCAACGTTTTGCGACCATGAGGCTCTCAAGAGATACATGTTGGGGGCGCCAAACGGCAATTCTAGCTGAGACGTCCCACCAAAATCGGCGCGAACGGGCTCGTGAGATCAGCCAGGGTGGCTCCCCCTTGGGGCTCCCAAGTGATGCCCCTGTCAGCGTTTTGTGATCATGAGAGAGTGTGAGTGTGAGTGAATGTGACTGTGAGTGAGTCTGAGTGAGAGTGAGTCTCATCTTATCTTATCGAGTCCTATCTTAACTTACCTTTATTACCCTCTATCTTATCTTATCTTGAAATCTCTTATCTTGTCTTAGCTTATCTTATATCAACTCATCTTATCGCATCATATATTGTCTTATCTTATTACTCCATAGGCTGTCTTATCTTATATATTATCCTACCTTGTCATATATCTTATATTACCTTATCATATATTGTGCTATCTTATCTTATCTTGTAGTATCTTGTCTTGTCTTGTCTTATCTGGTGATTATCATTGGGAGGAGGGAGGCGCGAGCGGGAGGAAGGAGGAGCAGTGGGAGGCGTCAGAGTAATAACAAGAACCCCAATCCTTAGGATATGGGGAAAAAACCTCTGCGCCTTGAAAGTGGATAGCGCGTCACTCCGCTCCGCGGGGCGGGAGGCTGGTGGCGGGAGGCTGGGAACAGCTCAGGACGCTGAAGCTCGGGGACCGCAAAGTGGATAGCGTGTAGCATCGAGGCGTGATGGGCCAGAACCGGCGGAGCGACAGGCTATCCAAAAGTTCCCCGATCGACGATGCACAGTGTCAGAGCTGAAAGTAAGGACGCGCGATGAGGATGCCAGCCCCCTGGACGCCCATGTCGAAGCTTCTCGAGCGGGGCGCGCCATAGAAAGTGGTGAAAGATGTACCGAAGAGGCAAGGATGCAAGGGTACCCTTGGAAAGGCTACCCAAGCCCAAGACGACTCGACGACCCGCCCTAGGCTCAAAGATGACCCCGACAACTCGTCCGAGAGGCCCCGAGGCGAGCCCAGGATCCCCCCCCAACAGAGGCCTTCAGTGAGGCACGGAGATGCAACCAACAGTGGTGAACCTACTGAAGGCCACACAGCGTTTGCGCCCGAGGCTGTCCGGATGCAGACCACATCAAGGAAGCTTTCCAGAGAGCCCCGAGAAACCTCTCAGCTTGCCGAGCACGGCGAAGAGGGGGCCCCTGGACGGCGCCCAAGACTGCGAGAAATCCCGCCAGACGGCCCGGAAGGGCCCCAAGAGTGCCCAAAGGGTGCCCAGCCGCCACAAGATGGTCCAACCGAGCCTGTTCCCAAGAGCTCGATAGAACCACCGCGCCCAACACGGCCCCGAGACGCCCCAACGGCCCCCAACGGACCCCCGAGAGTCACCCAAGAGTGGCCCACAAGAGGCCCCAAATAAGCCTCCCAGATGCCTTCAAGAGGGACGAGGGAGGAGGAGGAGGAGGCAGCAGGAGGAGGCAGCAGCAGCAGGAGGAGGAGGCAGGAGGAAGAGGAGGACGAGGAGAAGAATGAATGCGGAGGAGAACGAACCTGCGGACCACGATGGGGCGTTAGATATACGCGCCAGCACAAACTGGACACTGAACTGGAGTGGGTCTTAAACCAAGCATCCTTCCTGCTGCGGTGCTGAGATGTCGCGGCGGCGGGGTTGCCGCAGGCAGCTGGATAGGCGACAGGAGAGGAGGAGGGTGGAAATAGAAGAGATGAGCGGGAAGAAGGGTGGATGAGAGGACGGGTGAGGCGAGGCACGAGGAGATAGGAGATCAGATAGGAGAGAAGAGACAGGACAGACGAGAGAAACGAGATGATGGCCTAAAGCAGCACTGAGCACGTTTGTCGCAATCGCCGAAATGGGATTCGTATGCACTGGTCGCTGTTCAAAGCTACGCTGACCAGCGCCGTCTCTGCAAGCGGCACTACGGAAGAGCCATAAATGTTAGAATGACGGCTGCGAATGAACCCAGTATACACGGTCACATCTGTACGGTGATTATCTACAGCATCTGTAAAGCCACTGCTGCAAGAATCAAGAAAACCACTCTCGCGCCATCCGCTGTTGGGGGGCGCCATCGATCAAGGTCGTGACTGACACGGTCCGTTTACCAAATTCATGAGTGCTGCGAGAATGTCGCGACGATTGACGAGCTAGCGACCTAACTGCAATACATGTAGCACTCGCCAGCCCACTCCCGGCAAGGCGTGGCGGCCTTGCCAGAACACGTCTGGCTCGCGCTGCAGGTGCCGTTGACATGGTGCCCGTCGGCCCCGAAGCTGCCGCACACCTTGTGGCAGATGCTGGGAGCGCCCACCATCGCGTCGCCATCGGCCAGCGGCACGCATGCGAGTCCAGGAGAGCAGTCGCCGTAGAAGTGGCCGTCCGAGCCGCTGCTGCCGCACTGCTGCCCCTCCTGCTGCCCCACCTTCTGGCAAGTGCTCGGCGCGCCCACGGGCGAGCCCGCGGCAGGAGCCACGCACTCGAGTCCCGAGGAGCAGTCGCCGTAGAAGTGACCGTCCGAGCCGCTGCTGCCACATTGCTGCCCTTCGCCCTGCGCAAGTCGGCGATCAGCGCCGTCGCAGTACATGTAGCACTCGCCAGCCCACTTCCGGCAAGGCGTGGCCGCCTTGCCAGAACACGTCTGGCTCGCGCTGCAGGTGCCGTTGACGTGGTCCCCGTCGGCTCCGAAGCTGCCGCACACCTTGTGGCAGATGCTGGGAGCGCCCACCATCGCCTCGCCATCGGGGCCGGCGGCACGCAGTGCGAGTCCAATGAGAGCAGTCGGCCGGTAGAAGTGCCGTCCGAGCCGCTGCTCTGGCCGCACACTGCCTAGCCACCTCCTGCTGCCCCACCTTTCTGGCAAGTGCCGGAAGGGGGGGGGGCGCGCCCACACGGCGAAGCCCCGCGGCAGGAGCCACACAACTCGAGTCCCGAGGAGCAGCATCGCCTAGAAGTGTCCGTCCGAGCCGCTGATCCACATTGCTGCCTTCGCCCTGCGCAAGTCGCGAATCAGCGCCGTCGCAGTAAAACATGTAGCACTCGCCAGCCCCGCACCCGGCAAGGCGTGGCGGCCTTGCCAGAACACGTCTGGCTCGCGCTGCAGGTGCCGTTGACATGGTCCCCGTCGGCCCCGAAGCTGCCGCACACCTTGTGGCAGATGCTGGGAGCGCCCACCATCGCGTCGCCATCGGCCGGCGGGACGCATGCGAGTCCAGGAGAGCAGTCGCCGTAGAAGTGGCCGTCCGAGCCGCTGCTGCCGCACTGCTGCCCCTCCTGCTGCCCCACCTTCTGGCAAGTGCTCGGCGCGCCCACCGGCGAGCCCGCGGCAGGAGCCACACACTCGAGTCCCGAGGAGCAGTCGCCGTAGAAGTGACCGTCCGAGCCGCTGCTGCCACATTGCTGCCCTTCGCCCTGCGCAAGTCGGCGATCAGCGCCGTCGCAATACATGTAGCACTCGCCAGCCCACTCCGGGCAAGGCGTGGCGGCCTTGCCAGAACACGT